CCCTTCTCCCCTTATAGCCATCCTCTCCACACCATTATGGGTTTTTTTTTTTTTTGGTGAATCCAACAGTTTCTTTCTTAGAGAGTGTGTAGAAGTACTTTTACTTTTCCAATTTTTGTGAACAGCTTTATGACTTTTACTTGAGTAGTTTTCTCATCAGTGAAATGTATTTTTATCAAAGTAATTTTCTGTTCATGCAATTTTACTTTTATTTATCTCCCCCCAGTACTTTATAGACCTCTGGTAGACTCTATACTATGTAACAAAAGACTATAGCTTAAAGTAGCTAAAGACTAAAAGTAGCTAAAGGCTATAGAAGTTAAAAGTAACAAAAGGCTTGCTTCAATTAACTGAACAGTAGCTAAGGATAACATAAGACAGCAAGTTTGCCTGAAATATCAATGATCTTGAAGGAACTTAATAGATCTCAATGTATTTATTTTATTATTTTTTAGAAAACATGTAAATATAATTTTTAATTAAATTCATAGCATCTATCTACTGTGTGACTTGAACGTTTTGATATTTGCATTGAAAGAAAAGCACAAAAGTATACAGTGGTTAACCAAAAACATGAACAAATGCCGAGTCATCAGTACCCAATTATGTTTTTGCTAGAATACACAAGGTGTCCAGGTTCTGCAGAGAAAATATGAAGCTGAACTCGAAGCACAACGTTTCACCAACCTGCTCCACCTCCTGGTCTCAGACGACCCACTCACTCCAGGCTTCATGACTGAAAACACCCACAAAGATCTAATTGGACCAGAGTCTTCTTCCCTCAGAGAGATCCTCAGTGATGGATCAGCTGCAGCGCCAACGGCCGATTCAATCGACAGAACCAGCCGTGAACAAAAAGAAGTCCAAACTGCAAATGACTCTGCCAAGCAGGAAATCTGTTCAGGTACCTGTAACGCAAAACCGGTTAAAAAGCTGAAACCACAAGAAGCTACAATTTGTTCTGGTTTCCAGGATGTGGAGCGGTCATGGAAGACCTGCCCTACCTGGAGATCTTGCGTGCACCAGACACACGGGGCGAGGAAGACGAGGCCAGTGAAACAGAGAGCCACCAGAGCTACGAGAAACAGCGCTCTCTCATCACGCTCGCTTGGAGCAAACCGTCTGAGGACGATAAGGCAGAGACTGCAGGTGGGGAAACTGAACAGAATCGAGATGACAGCACGACCCAAGTCCAATCCACACAATGTGGCAAAACAGTTCAGGAGACAGACAGAGAAGACATGAACCCTACTCTGCTGCAGAACGGTTCTTCAGATCATCAGTACAGCCCAACAGAGCAGGTACTTCAAGAAGAACATGTCATAACACACTGTCACTTTCCTTCATCTGATTTCTTTCTATTTTCTTTCAGCTGAACTTGAAAAAGACACCAAAAACCAAACGGTCAGAAGGAGGAGAAGCTGCATCGGAAAGTGACCTGCAAACAGATGCTACAGAAGTTGAGAATCTTCAACATTTACAGCCAAATGTCTTGGATGACCTCTGCTCTGGAACATCTGATCCCACAGCCAGAGAAAAGAAGATGTGTCCCACTGAGTCCACACTGGTGGAGCTCAGAGGACCTGAACACTCAGGCCATGAGGACCAGACACGTTCTCAAGAATCAACAGTAAGACCTTTCTGTCTGTTTTTCTGATTTGTGCATCACTGACGAATCTAAGCTTTGTTTCACGTGACAGATGGAGTTCAGTCTTCCTGAGAGAAACCAAACGAGGGAACCCAGTCCGATGGAGAAGGAACGACATCCAGTGTCTGCGATGGACCGAGAGAGAACAATGCAGAACCTGGTAGACATGCAAAAAAAGTTTGAAGAAAAGCATCAAAGAGACAAAGAAAGGCAGCTGCTGAAGGTGAGACGTGTGAAAACAAAGTCTTTGAAGGTTTCTCCAGAGGCAAATGTGTCTCAACACAGTTTGTCTTTCTAGGTTCAGGAGCGTCTGTCGATAATCCAGAGCAAAAAAGCCGAGGAGGACCTTCTTGGCTTGAAGCATACAGACAGACTGAGGCACCTCACACAAGATCTACCCATGGTAACCATGTGAGAATCTCTAGAACACCTCAGATGTTTTGAATAGTTACCACTGGGTGCAAACTGTTGTGTTTTAGGAAGACAAGAACCAGCAGAAGACGGTCGTTAAGGAGCGGCTGGAACAGCTCAGAAGAGAGCGCTCTTACATCATGCAATCCAAGAGAGACAGGTACACTGTCTGAATCAGCCAGAGAACAGCAACAAAGTAATGTTGATGGGTGTTACAAATTAATCCTTGTATCTTTCAGGAACACTGCTGTGTTCAAGGAACTCCTGGCTCCAGTTCATTTGCACATCAGTGAGACAGAAGACGGAACAAACTGACGCTTGGTGTTACTGATTGACTTTTTAGTTCCAGTTTCATCTAAACTGTTAATGCTGTTCAGTGTTTTATTTACTTAACATACTTGTGTTAAGAAGTTTTATACCATCTTTGTTGTGATCATGTAAAATACAGCTCTGTGCAAAAGTCTAAAATCAACCCCATTATCATATTTGGTCTCAAAAGAACAAAACTTGCTTGTAACCTCTTGCAGATGCATTTGGTCAGTGGTTCTGCAAGTTTATTATTTTTTATTCTCTGGTAAATAGTTCTGTTGTGTCAACACAATCTGGTTATTTCCTTGGGTTTGAGAGCCTTTTCTTTTGCCAATGATTCACAGGTTGGTTAGGAGGGTTGAGAAACAAAACATTTCTCTGAAAAGGGTCTAGTACTGAATCAAATCAGAGCAAGGAAAATTCAAAGAAAAACTGTAGATCTCCAGAAAACCTTAAGAACTGGCACCCAAGAACACCTTTAAAAGAAGCAAAGACCTTTGCATAGTACTAAAACAAAAACCAGAAAAAACATCTAATTATTTTATATGTTTTAATGTTCATTTTGACAACCATATGCATCAACAGTAACGTAATTTAATTATAACCCCTTTAATCGTGTGCACATTATCCCAAGGCCAAAATGACAAACGATAAGCCTGAGGTGCATGTGAACAGTCCAGAGGGGCTCCATTTTTATGTGAACATTTATGTTGAACATTGTTCACTTGCACCAATGGACTGAGACTGGCTTTATTTACAGGTATGTAAGGATAAGAGAGGAACATGTGAAGGAACATTAGTTTCATTACTAACTCTACAACTGGTAGGTAAGCTACAGCTGGATTGGTGTGGGCTCGGGAGTCCTTCCTGAAAAACAGGACGACTCCTCATTCCAGCTAAGGTGAGGGAAAATATCTGAGATAAACATTCTTTTTATCCCACCTCCTCGTTCACTAATTACAGTATATTTGGTATTCACTCTCACAGTTCACTGCAAAGCATAAATACCTACCAGCCCAATGAGCTAGAACATTCCACAACAGCTCCCACACTCAAAGTGGATAAACTCTAGTAATGAGTACATAACTTCAAAGTCTGAACACTAACATTCACAGCAACATAAAGAAATCTATGCTCCAGACTACAAAGAAACAAAAAGCATGTTTGACAGGCCATATACTCAGAGCTTTGAGTGCAAGTGACGCTGAAACTGAATGAAACCAGCAAATAAAATGAATGAAAGACAGTTCACCTTCCAGGTGGCGGCAGATCAGATGTTTGGCTCTCAGGATAAAACTGGAATCAGGTTAGCTCATGTAGCGACAGGGTACTTCAAAGCAGAAACCGAAGTTTCAACAAGTCTGACAGATTTATCTTTTGTGTATGGACTCTACAAGCTCTTTCAGAGAGAAGGTGCATGCTCTTGTGTGTGACTCACCAAATTACAACTTTTACAAAATAGTTGACAATATCTGCATTTTGTACATTAGACTGGTGATTTCCTCATAAAGGTAAAAGTTTAGAATGAAGACAGAAAAGGCTCGAGTTGAGTTCACGTTAATGAACTTCTGAGAATGAGACTAACATCTACTGTTTGTTACACACAACAGTCATCAAACATCCAAAATCTCTCTGAGGTGGTGGTGAGCACAATGGAGCTGAGGATGGAGGAGTTTATTTTACATTTTTTCTTTGTTTTAGACTTATTTCCATCCTTTTCACTGGAATCATAAAAGGAGGGAAACGTGTGTGTGTGTGTGTGTACGCAGCAAGTTTTGAATGGTATTAGCAATGGAACCGAAACCAGGTTTGTGTGCAAGTCTTTGTAGAAGTCTTTCTATTGGTGTGCACACTGCACCCCTGGGCCGTGGTGACCCCCTTCATCATCAGAACTATCATTATAGGCCTCTCTCCGATCTCCACTGCCAGAACCTTGACTCTTGTCATAATCTGACAGCTCGACCTCCTCTGCATCTGGAGCAATATCAGGATATTCAGAACGAGCAGGAAGCAAATTCTCCAGGTCCTTAAAGAAACAACAAAAAAACACATGAATAGCTATTTTTAAACTTGGTTTAATTTTGTTTTTCCTCTTAGTTCCCTTTTTGAGTCAACTCACATTCAGTTTTTCAGCGCTGATCCAGTTGTTTTCTGGGAACTGAACATCAAACTTGATGTAAAGATCTCCCTTCTCGAATGGATTTCTGTACTGAGGCATTCCCTCTCCTTTCACCACTCGAATACAGCCTGTCACACAAACAGGTTGGAAAATAAAAAGTCTAAACTAGTTTTGAGTCATACTTTGAACTTAAAAATTGCCTGATCTGAAAACTTATAATTACACACATAAAAGAAAACTTTGAAGTCCACATTTTTATTGTGACATAAATAAAACAGACCTATGTAATGTTTAGAGATTAAATTATGTCTTTAAAGCAGCAACTTAGTGGTTTATAAACTTGTTTTTTTAAACCTCAATTCATAATTTTTCACTTTTATGCAAACTATTCCTAAAATGGTAACATGTCAGAGTTTATAAACACACATTTCTGCACAAGAGTTGATCATTACTTCCTGATGCATCTCAGTAATTCAGGTAGAAAAATAGAAAAAAATTAAGTAGGTCCTTAAGTAGGGTCTGAGGTCATCATTTTCACCTGGTGGTTGACCCAAACAGGACTCCAGTAAACCACTAGGTGAAAATGAAGACATTATTATTTTAACTGATCATTACCCTAAAATTAATGTTATTGTTATAGTGTACATCTGCAATAACCAAATGTTTTGAAACTTTAAGATCAGCGCTAAAAATAAGCCGAACGAAACAAAGAAAATTTAAGCTGACTCACCTGGCTCAATGACTTTGCCAGGTGGGTATTTGACAAGCAGCTGTCGTCCATCCAGATGTGTGATTGTCATCTGGAAGCCACACAGAGCCTCAACGAGTCCGATACGCTGGACCATGTGAAGGTCATTTCCATCACGCCGAAATTCCTGTTCAAATTGAAATTCATTGTTTTATTTTTTTAACAACAGGTTTGGTAAATAAACAGTACAGTCTGTAGATGTTCTTATGACATCTGATATTGATTACCTCATGATCTTTCTCCTGAAGCACCAGAACAATATCTCCTGGTTCAACACCTGGTGCTTGGTCAGCTTCTCCAGAGAACGTGATTTTCTGCCCATGTCTCATCCCTTTGTCCACATGAACCTCCAGAACTTTAGTGTCCTTGCATACCTTCTGACCTTCGCACTTTTTGCAGCGGTCCTTCTCATTTATTACCTCACCTGGACAACACACACAAAACTATACTTAAAAAAAACAGCCTTCTTTATGTATACTGTTTATTTTAGTATGTGGATATTAATTTGTATGAACATATTACCCTCTCCATTGCAGTCTGTGCAGACGGACTGCATTTGTTGAACCATCCCAGGAGCCAGCTGTCTGATCATGATTCTCATTCCTCGTCCTCTGCATGCCACACATTTCTGCACGGCTCCTGCCTTACCCCCCTGACTAGAATGGAGCAGTTAATCTGTGTTATCTCAATTGTTATCACAGACTATCACACAACATACATGGTTTCCAAAATAATATTACAAACTCTACATGTCAACTATAGAGGTTCATTGTTCTATAAGAACACATGTGCATAATGCACGTTTAATGGCGTGGAAAAAAAAAACTAATAGAAAGTACTGACGGGAAATAAACAATGGAAAGTGTTTTGGCTTTGACTGGCAGTGATACAAACACCTAACTGGACATGCAGTTTTCTTTATTGGTTTGCTGCAGGGCTGTAATAGGCAGAACAGATCACTTGCTTTTTTACTAACACACATTCACAAACTGACAAGCGCATCGGTTTGTGTAAATAAAATCATGCAGTGGATTCATTTAGCAACATGACAGCAGGCAGCTTCCACTTTTGTATGCCTCTCTCCGAAATACCAATTCAGTCAAACCTGGTCATCGCTCTCGTTTTAAAATTAGGCTAATTAGTAATTGTAACGCCCACTGAGTCAAAGTCAGATACTGCTCCTTTCTATTTTTAGAGGTTCGATAATTTTTTCATTACGTTAGTATTAGAAGTCAGGTACAAATAGAAGCAATGCTGTCTAGACAAAACAAAAAGGAGTCTTTTTGCCTAGATTTGCCAGATATCCCTCAATCTAAAAAGTCCACATCAGAACACTAATCTTCATCTTCAAAGAGTGCAGCATGATTTAATAAAAAAACTGAATTCCAGTGAGGCTGAACTGCATCAGGGAGGTAACCACTGCAACTAAACTAACAACAAAATATCATCAGGAAGATCTTTGAATATTAGTGCAGAGTGAACTTGTCAAAAAAACAATATTTAGATATGTTGATCCACTTGCCCTAATATGTATTGAATTTTTCAACTTAATGAGTGTATCTTTAGTTTGTTAGTTATGAATGTATCCAATACGTTCCAATTTATTTTTTTATGTGGCTGTTTTTGATGCTATTACAAATCAGAGCTTTAACAGTTCTTTTCTAATTTAATTTTAATCATAAATATGAAACCAGAGAAGTACACTCACCCATTGCAGGCACTACACAGCACGTTCTTACTGAGCTGCAGTTTTGTTGTTTTGCCATTGTACAAATCTTCAAGAGAAACTCTGTGACAAAACATAATTATAAAACGTTAAAATTTTAAAACCTATTATAAAGTATTTATTATACAATATGAAATACTTACTTCAGAGGGTGAACCATATCTTCTCCTCTTCTCTTGCCTCCACTGCGCCCTCTGCCCTGTCCACCCATGAAACCAAAGAGTCCTCCACCAAAAATGTGAGAGAAGATATCGTCCATGCCAGGCCCCCCTCCTCCTCCTTCTCGAAGCCCCTGCTCTCCATAGCGATCATAAAGCTCCTTCTTCTCAGGGTTTGTCAATACCTCGTATGCAAAACTAATTTCTTTAAACTGGAAAAAAAATTAAATCAATGACAAATCATTAAAGCATCAAGTGATGGAAGGCTGAGAAAAATGTAATTAATCAAAACTAGAAGCTCTCTTGTAAAATAAAAAGGTTGGAGTGTTAAGTGAATGTAGGTCACGAAACAAAATGCACCACAGAACTGATTTTATTTATTCATTTCAGAGGAATGTTGTTTAATATTTGATACATTGAGCTACACCTAATCAATCCTGCAAGTGTGTGTGTGTGTGTGTGTGTGTTTGTGTGATTCATTGCTACTGTAACTTCTGGTGTTGCTATTAAACATAAATATTGTCAATACGAACACATTTTGGTGTCTCATACCTTGTCTCCAGCATCAGGATTTTTGTCAGGGTGGTACTCTTTGGCCAGTTTACGGTAGGCCTGTAAAATAAATCAAGCAAAAATCAAATAAATACATACACCATGAAGAAATGTTCATTTAGATAACAGGTGGGACAGTGGCTGACACCAAACATACATGTAAGGTTGACTGGTAACTAGGGCTGCCACAAACTATTATTTTAATAATCGATTAATCATTGATTATTTATTCGATTAGTCGACTAATCGGATCATACGTTAATTGAATATAAAACAAAGAGCTTATCGTGCCAGAATGCAGCTGCTATTGTATAACCATCGTTAGATTTTAGCTAAATGCTAACTAAAAATAATTGCTGTGGAAGGTAAGTTCTGCTCTGCAGATATTACACAGGTTTCTCTTTCATTTTCTTAAAATGATCCCACACTTTTGAGCTCCGTTGCTGGGTAGCCATGATACCAGAGCCTGTCTGTATAATGGCGGTGTCCAAAACGGCAGGACGGGTCCTCCAAAGGTCGAATTTGTCGGCCGCATACGTCACAGCGTTGCGACGAAGGACGTCCAAAACCAAAGACTCCTCCGACGCGGCCGACAAATACGTCCTTCCTTTGGCCCGAATCGAAGGACAGGTCTGATGGATCCTTCCCGGCCCACCATATCCCATAATGCATTGCGGCCCGACAGGAGATTTTTTTATGCTAGTAATGATGGACGAAGCGAGAGAAAAGAATACATTTTGAATAAAAATATGGTGATATAAAAATTAAAAAAAAATTAGCGGTTGTAATTCTAATACTTTTATCATTTGTATGGACATGTTTCTAAATATTATTTTTTCGTCATAAAAAATGCGAAATAAACATGAACCTACAGCGGGTCAATTAGTTCTTCAAATGATACCTTTAAGTTAATTTTATAGTTTTGTGATATTAATAATGCTAATGTATTGATATTTTTCTAGTTTTGATTTAAGTTTGCTTGTTTAGCGTCGTCACAGTTGCTAGGTGACAAGATGTACGCCGGGGTAAGAAGGGGAGGCTAGACCGTCCAAATTCACAGCCTCTTTTTTTCCGGTCTTCCCGGTCTACCAAGGACCCGGCCCGCCTCGACAGGGGAGTCTGGGTCCTCCGGAGGACCCGGCCTGTCGTTTTGGACACAGCCAATGTCTTATGACGTCCATGGCCTACCCCAGTTACCACTACTGTGCATGTGTGTCAAGGACAGAAAGGCAGATGTGGCAGTGGAAGGTGTCAAAGCAGTTTGGAGAGAAAAACAAAGTAAACAACAACAACAAAAAAAATAAAAGAAAACGATTAATCGATTATTAAATTAGTCATCGATTATTTTAATAATCGATTAGTCGTCGATTAATCGTGGCAGCCCTGCTGGTAACTTTAAACAGGGAATGAGAAAACAGTTGTTTGTTTCATTTGTTTCCAAGGGGCCCTGTGATGGATTTAAAACCTATGAAATATTTTGTCTTCTGTTTACGATACTAAAAAAAAATACAGGAGCCATTATTAAACATATATTTACAAAAGTGGTAAAACCACTGACATGGAGAGATTCATTACAGATTCTAATAATGACACATTTTACGGGTTTCTCCCTTGAGTACATAATGTGCTACTACACGTTCATTTCTGCTTACAGGTTACTTGGACATATGAGCTCGTCACAAGTTTCTCTGTGACATTTACTCAAAACTGTGAAGTCAAATCAGCGTTACAGTAAATCTGTTATCGATACAATCAGCTTTAGCTTTACATAATCACATTTCTCTCCTGGCAAACCTCGAGTCACACCGGGTGATGATGGTGGCTAGCTAGAACATGTTACCCTTCCACACACAGGTAGGTGTTGTACCGAAAAAAGCGACCTAGCCGTCAATTCGAGGTCAGCTAGGCTGCCAGGATTAGCTTTCTTTTGAAAATGTGTCACCGACTCTTAATAGTATATCAAGGAACAATACAGTTGAAAGGAACGTGATATTGACAGAGATATGTATGTAATATTTTCTGGTTAGCTAACACGGTTAGCGTCGCATTCACCCGGCGGCTTAACTTGTAAATGAGAAGATTAAGAGTAATTAAAAAAACAACTAATCAGCTAATCAATTTTGATAATATATTTTAAAACACTAAGAAAATAAACAACTGCAAAACTGAAATGCGCCCCACCTGACGAAGATGCGTTTTTCGACACAACACACACGGGCAGCTCTCGCACTCGCGGCTGCTTATTTTTAGTTTGTCGCCAAGCAAACATATCGCCTGTGATGAATTAATATAAATGATAAACTTTAGAATCCACACCAACAAGGCACCAAAATCAAAGTTTGCCTAAATAACAGCTAGCTCACGCGCTAAGCCTTAGCTGGGAATCATCTGAAAACTGGTAACTACTAGCTCCGTTTTTTAGGCCGCACCGCACTCGGGACTTTTCCACCTTTGTTTCTCTCCATTAAATACAAAAGCTGGTATTTCTGTTTTAAAATACACCTACCTTTTTAAGTTCGTTTTCGGAAGCAGAGGGTGAAACTCCGAGGATGTCGTACAACCTGGTGTCGGCAACGTTCGCCATGATGCTAACCGGCCGGCTGAGAGAGCTTCTTTCAGCTGAGAGAAGAGCGACTGCGTCACGGTTTAGAGGTGTCCGCGATTTTGCCAGAAACTCCCGGCAGAAACATCTCCCTCCCTCCTCCCACAGTTTGTAACCAATGAACTCACTTCGGTTTTTATTTATCTATCTAAAAGGAAGGAAGAGGCCTAAAGAAATTAAAAGCACCACAGTTTGGACTTAGGATTTTTTTTTTGTTTATTTTCTGTCCAGTGAATCTGATCATGAAAACAAGAAGTGTCAGACTTTGCGAATAATAATAATAATAATAATAATAATAATAAGCCTACATCTGCAGTCAATGAACAGTTTTTTAAGTTCTCAATTTTGAGGAAAAATAAATTAATTAAAGACCTGACATGCTGTGCATCATTGTTCTGCAAATCACGGTTCTCAAACTGGGGTCCCAGGACCCCCAGGGGTCCCCAAGATGTATCTTGGGGATCCTCAAAACATTTCACTAAATTGTTAATTTGGTTTTTATTTTTAAAATTGCATGGAGAACAATGAAATAATAAAACAAACACAATAAACTAAATAAAAATATATATTCCCATGGCATTTAGGGGTTGAAATAGTTATCTTTTAAAACAGCATGGGGTATGAGGGGGTCCCTGGAATTTTTTCGCCCTTGTAAGAGGTCCCCAGACCCAAGTGGCTTGAGGACTCCTGCTGTAAATCATCCCTTTTTTCCCCCCAAATCCAGCTTTCAGCTATTATTTCTTTGGAATTGTCTTTTAATATTAATAAATTCGGTAAAATAAGTTGAAGCCAATTGTAAGAAAGTGTTTATTATTATTGTAAAGACCAGCAGACTTGATTCTGTTTATAACAATTTCGTTTAAAATAGCGTGCTTTTATTTTGACAACTTCCTCTAAAACCGGAAGTACGGTACGGTGACATTTAACCACCAGTACTGGCCTTCTTGATATTGACTGGAAGCTACAATAAGAGCTTGGAGTTACAATTATTATTATTAGCTGTTAGTTCAGTAGTGATGGGCAAATGAAGCTTTTCTGCAGCACTGAAGCTTGCTTTGAAAAAGGGTTCATTACTCGAAGCTTTCCAACACAGTTGTCTTTGGCGCCATCCTGTGGCCAAAAGTATGAAAAGCAGCTTGAAACAACACAAAGTGAAGCGCTTCGTCGTGATGGAGATAACAGCTTTTTAATGAGATATTTCTGTTTGAAATCAGGTTGTCATTGTGTTGCTTGAACAGATTTTATTTACTTATTTCGTTTTGTGGGTGGGAATGAAGTTACTGTTGTTTATGGTTTTTTATAAATAATAAATAAATAAAATAAAGTGTGCCAGTGTATTTTATACTGAATTATTTCAAGTTCATGATCTTAATTCATTTTCATTTAAAAACAAACTTAATTCTATACACACACAAAAAAAATCACAAATAAAATGAAAGACAGAAAGCAGAAAGAAAAGTCTAATTTTATTCTCTGCTCCTTATTTTCAAAAAATAAAATATAGGCTACTAGATTATTTCACACATTCCTTAAAACCAATAAATACAGTAGTTGAATTTCAACTTAAGATTTTCACAATCTTATCTTGACATTTCTCTGAGAATAATTTTGAATGTGATCATATATTTAAAATATATTCTGTGTGTGACTGCTTGTCTGTTTTTCTAAATACAGGATCAACAAAATCCCCACTGAGAGACTCTTCCGATTTACTTTAAGTCAGATGTTTGATATCTAAATTTTAGGCCCAGCTTTGAGACAATATTTTTTTTTACAATTAATTCTTCACAGTATTAATATTTCCTACAAGTCTGATAAATACAGACCCTGGTCTTTGATTTAAATTTTGACATGAACGTTCAAAACTTTTCCACTGAACTTTAAAATGTTTGGATAATCCCTTTATTAAATAGAGTCCATACAGTTGATCAGTTTCATCTAATGCTTCGTGCCGCCCTTCCTCCTGAGGACAGGGCATCGTCACCATCCGGTTGTGTTTTTTATGAAAATCATCACTTGTGCAACAAGTACAACTCTGCTCTGGGATGTGTCTCGCGCTACCATTGCTTTCTTTTTAATGATGAACCAAGCTGCACGCAGTCCTGTGTGTGTGTGTGTGTGTGTGTGTGTGTGTGTGTGTGTGTGTGTGTGTGTGTGTGAAGGTTTTTTTGTGTTATTGACTACATAAATTGTTGAGGATCTCTAACTGTGGCTACAGCACTTGCAAAATCTTTCATGAAAAGTTAATTTTCTCCATGATCTTGATGAATAAATTGAACAGTAAGCGGATCGAGCAACATCACAGCAACCCTATTCCCAGACCAACGACTGCTGAAACAAGAATAAAGAGAATTTTTGGATAAGCATAATGTGATTCTGTCAATACGCTGACAGAGTTGTTGCAGATGGATGGACTGGGGACATCCAACAGAATCTCAGTTATCAACCCAGCCACTGAAAATATAATAGTCAATTTTAAATGAAACATGTGACAGTCATCAGTAATATTAACATGTTTTGTGTCATTTGTTTCCTTCCTTAACATTTGAATGCGACAAGCATCACCAGACTTTCCACTGTTTGTGCTACTTTCCCAACTTTTCTCTTTCTATTGAGTGTTTTTTCAACATTTACATCCTTTAGTCGCAGCCTCATAGTGGTGAAGATCATTATGAATGTAATTATGATGATTAGAATGGCAGTTTTTTTTTCTCTCCGTTTAGTTTAATTAGGAGGGAAACTAAAGACACCCACTGTTTAAATTACAGAAACGTAGCATTATCATGGCTGGGGGAAATTATTCAGTGGTGAAAATTATTTT